ACGTCTTCCCCGTCTCTGCGTAGCTCCGTGCGATCATGACGAGTATCTGAGAGAATCGTGCGCTCATTCTCATTTGTACTTCCATCTTCGTTGGCTTCACTCTCATCTGTACTCCTCGTCTTCATCATTGCATTCAGGTGACAAGTCCACCGTGCACCACGCCGTCTACGGCGGCATCAGAGACATCACATGCAAGTACCGAGGCGCGAACACGAGAAGCCTCAAGCGCCGCTGTGGACCGTAGCTCTTCCCCATCAATCGTCCAAACTCGGTCTCCACGTCGAACACACCTTGCACGAGTGGCGCAGTGGCAACCACATCCCAAGAAGAGAAAATCGTCTAAGTCCACCCAATGAGGAAACAGCTTGCTTACTAAGTGTTTAGAAAAAAAATCGTCCCGGGCGTTTGTCAATCGAAATAAACCTTGAATGACCATTGATCAATCGGAACTTGTCTTGTCCATCTGCTTCTACCCACCAAGTTGTCTCATTGCTTCGCTGACTCGTCTTATGGCGCTGCCATTTGACATACCAATCAGAGCCATGTAGCCCTAGAGAGTCAAAGCCAAATAAGTTTCGTATGGAAAAGAAATGGGATTTATTTCAAAATAAATGATTTTCTGGTCTTTGGGCTGCTATGGCATCCACAGGAAGCGTATGAACACAAGAGCACCCTCGTTTGATCCGCAAAAATTTAGCGCTTCTGCTGTGCTTGATTTGAAACGCACAGCAGACAGAATGGCCGAGCACGACCCGAAATACTGACTGCCAATTAATCGCACCTGCCTCAATCCCAAGAGCAATATGTTGCTACAAAAAGGGAATACATATGTTACTTTCAAGGAGGTGACCGAACTATCCCGCTGAACAACATATTAAGGTACATTCAGTCACAGACAGAAGAGAGTTTTTTCTTTCACACACACACATGGAAGGAGGAGGAAACAATGAGCTTACGCCATTGTTGATCGTGTCCCGAGACGCAATGTCCACTTATCGCTGCACCAAGTTATATTGGGTGCACCTTGAAAACTGCAGAAACACCACGTTTCGCTTCCTAAACCCCATTGGATCTCGCCCGAGCCAAAGCTACATTTGGTAGTTGCCCTCTCTCTGTCTCTCAATTCGAACGTTGACGCCAGACGATTCACCGCCGCTCGACCCCCGACCTCGACTACAGGAGCGGAGTATTTTCGGCACACAGTTTCTAAGCTGCCCGCAATCCCATAGGAATCTTGTTTGATTTCTATGCCTGCTTTGGTACTGTGACCGCACCAGAAGTTGATCGGCCTAAGCTGAAAACGACGGCGCGCCCGGACGCAGCGATAGGCTCCTCTTCTCGTCGAGCGATTGATTAGACCATGTCATGGTATGTTCCCCATCGCATGTATCATTGACCCAATGCAACTGCTCACTTGATATCCCCAAAAACCAGCGAAATACATAATGAAATGACCAATGCTGTCCGAGCGCTGTACTCACGAGCGCTTCCATCGCAATGATAGCTCGACCTTTCGCTGCCGTAATTGACTGCATACGCAACGGACCGCGACCGTTGCAGTCGCTTTGACTGGACCTCCACAGCCTGCCTCTGCCTGCCTGCAGTGGGCAAGATGGCTCAGGCCTTTGTGTTGACCCTCGTCGTCGCGCTGGCTTGCCTAACGGCTTCTTCCCAGGCTCAGAATGGCTGTACGGGCTTCAATGATAATGATGAACTCTGCTTTGACGTGGATCGAAACACCAACCCATGCCAAGGCATGATCTGCCACTTTGGCACCTGCGGCCCCAGCAATCTACTTCGGGCTCAATGGGCGACTTGTCCAGGTGGACGGTGCATCGACGGTACTTGCATTGCTCTTCCCGATCAAGCAACTGGGTTGCTTGGTTTTCCTTTTGATCGTGGCGTCGGTGGCACGGCCATTAATACGTTCCAAGACCATGGAAATGGCCTGCAATTTCAGCCCGTGACGTGGAGTGATCCCAAACTCGGCACGGCTGCCCTGTCCCTCAGCGGCGGATATGTGCGCTGCACACAGCAGAACCTCCCTGAGACATTCACCTTCCTTTCCTGGGTACGCACCACCGCGACTGGTGGCCAAACCCTCTTGGCCTGGACAAACTCAGGCTTCACCGCCTCGGCTGCAATTCGCATTGCGCTCGGTCGATTGCAATACTTTGCCTCCAACGCCACCGCTTCCAACAGCGTTTACACAAATGCCGTCGTCAACGATGGCGAGTGGCACCATGTTGCTGTTCGGGCCCGTGGCTCCTCCATTCAGCTCTATGTAGATGGTGCCCTCGAAGTGGATCAGAATGTCTCTCGCGTCAGCTTGACGCCTGCCACCACCTACATTGGCGCCACTGCTGGCAGCAGTGGCCCACTTGTGACATTTTCTGGTAGCATCGACGAATTACAGCTCTGGGAACGCGTCATGAGCCCTCGTGAAATTTTTGTTGAAGGTGCGACAATTTGCATGGCCCGAATGATCTTGTTCCTCCAACGTCAACATATTTCCTCTGCCGTCGTCGTCCTGTTTCTCTGCTCTTGGTCTTTGAATACCTTGCCTGCTTCCACCTCACTGACATAACTCTGTGGTCCTTCTGCCCTACAGCTCGAAGGATCGATCATTACCTCTTGCTGGGCCAACCAAGAACGACAGAGCCTCTTGATTTCAGTAGCACCAGTGCCAATGATTGTGCAAATACTTGCTTGGACACAACTTGCGACGGCTTTGTCTATTCCGAGACACTTCAACGTTGCTCCATCTACACTGGATCAATTATCTACGATCCCTTAACAACAGGGGCCTCAACATTGATCTACCGACGTGATGGCACCTTCCCCGCAGCGAGCACCTCGACCACCAGCTCACCCGGCTCTGGGTCGGGTCCCACAGTCCAGTATACGTTCGAGGTCGTGACCGGAGATGTCATCGCGGATACCGCTAGTGGTCACTACGATGCTTTCTATTCTGGAAATTGTGCCCCTGATCCCAACGCCTGGACTGGGGCTGTCGCTTTCTATATGACTAATTGCGTGATAAGATCGACTTTTGCTGCCCGCCCAGTCACCATGAGCGTGCGATTCAAGTCAACAAGCACTCAAGCTCAAGCAATCTTTTCATTTTCGTCCAACGATCAACTTTTCGAACTGCGAAAGGTCGCCTCCGCTATTTCAGTCTACAGTTCGCTGAGCACTAGCGAATCCTATAGTTTGACTACCACAGTACCCACTGGATCGAGCTCAAACTGGCATACGCTTCATGTCGTACTGGACGACGCAGGAGCGCTGGGTTCTTTGTATGTCGATGGTGTTGAGGCTGTGACAAACGTCTTCAGAGCCGCTTCGGCATACGATTCCTGGACCATTGGCGGGAGGAGTGGTAGCCAGCTCTACCGCTACCAGGGTAGTCTTGACCAGATTGAGCTGTGGTCTGAAACCCTTGATGCAGCTACAATCTGGGCCGACTGTAAGTTCCAAACGTCACGAGCCTTGACATTTGGCGGTTGATGTGTCTCTCATTTTGATTGTTACATGTAGATACGAATGTTGATGGAGCAACATTTCTCGCAGCTGGCGCAAACGGGCCGGCATTTGCTGCGCCTCGTCGCTTAAACCCGGCAACCCGTGCTGCAAGCTTTCTGTCTTCAAGTCTAACCACAGCAGTTGAAGAATGCTTCCATGCTTGTGTGGACATGCCATCCTGTAAAACTTTTGAGTGGATCAATGGAAGCGTATGTATTCTTTATGATCTTTGGGATGCTGAAGATTTTCTACAGGCAACAAATGCGACCTTACTATTATACAAACTGGTAAGCAACATCGATTATTCAACAATCGTATCGACAAGATTGGAAAACTGACAAGTGTCTTGTTTCTTATAGGATGACGTGAGCACCAGCTCAACCTCTAGCACCTCCAGCACGTCTAGCACGTCGAGCACCTCTAGCACATCGAGCACCTCAAGCACATCGAGCAGTTCTAGCACCTCAAGCAGTTCTAGCACCTCAAGCACCTCCAGTACCTCTAGCACCTCCAGTACCTCGAGCACCTCTAGCACCTCAAGCAGTTCTAGCACCTCTAGTACCTCTAGCACCTCAAGCAGTTCTAGCACCTCCAGTACCTCAAGCAGTTCTAGCACCTCCAGTACCTCTAGCAGCTCCAGTACCTCCAGCACCTCCAGTACCTCCAGCACCTCCAGTACCTCGGGCACCTCTAGCACCTCGAGCACCTCAAGCACCTCGAGCACCTCAAGCTCCTCTAGCATGTCAAGCACGTCGAGCACATCGAGCACCTTAAGCACCTCAAGCACCTCAAGCACCTCGAGCACCTCAAGCTCCTCTAGCATGTCAAGCACGTCGAGCACGTCGAGCACGTCGAGCACATCCAGTACATCCAGTACATATAGCACGTCAAGCACCTCGAGCAGTTCCAGCACTTCCAGCACCTCAAGCAGTTCCAGCACTTCCAGCACCTCAAGCGCATCAGATGCATCCAACAGCTCAGCCACCATGACCACCACTGGCCCAACTCTTTCATCGCCCCCTTCAACATCAACCGCCACCACCACCCAGACTACCACCACCAACACACCTACTACTACTACTACTACTACTACTACTACTACTACTACTACTGCTGCTGCTACTACTACTACTACTCAAAGTACAACCACAACGCCTGCAGCCTCCCTACAAGGCATGTGGCTGTTTGAGGCAGGCACAGGCACCACAGCCTTTGACTCTTCAACTTACCAGCGAAACGGCCTCCTCCGTGGTGGTGCCGCTTTCACCCCGGATGCGCGCATTGGTACCTATGCCCTTGCCCTGGACGCAGGCACCACATCCCATGTCACCCTGCCCTGCGTCGGTCTCTCTAGCTCGGGCGAGACACGAGCACTCTGGCTCAAGTCAGACGCCACGCTTCAGGCCATGTCGCTTCTGTCATATGGTCACTCGGCTGTTGGTGGTGTCATGAGCTATGAGTTCCGCCTGGTCCAGGGCTGCCCTCAAGTCTTTGTTTACGATGGCTTCTCACAGCAGATTGTGGGTGGGCCTGGCGTGGTGGCCCCCGTCAATGATGGTCAGTGGCATCATGTTGCCTACACACTCAGCGTCGATGGTCAGGCCAACATCTACGTGGATGGTGCCCCAGTGGCCTCTGCCACAGACTTGGACCTGGCTGGTCTCGTCTTGCTCGATGCCATTGACATTGGTCGTCGCAGCGTTGGCACTTCGAGCGCTCTCTACTTTAACGGCCGTCTCGACAATGTCCTGCTGGAGCACCGCGAGCTTTCTGAAGCTGAGATTATGGCGCTTGGTATGTGATTTGGGATTCGCTTGCTCTGCTTGCTCTGCTTGCTCTGCTTCTCTTACCTTTCTTTTCTCCTGTTGCGCGTGCTCACCTTCCCTCCACGATAGCCTTCCCTCCCACGACAACGACCACCATTCCTACCACCTCAACGGCTGATCTCACCACCACCACCACCAC